GCTTTATGTGAAAAAAGTTCAAGCATTGGACTATGAGACTTACTGGGCAAATCTGCGGAAATTATATTTGGAGTTTGGAATATTTGTATTTTATAAGGTGAAATTCATGACGCTGGTAACACCTAATGCTTCGCTCTGTTATTTGTGTAAATCAGGGAGCGCAGATGGAAAGTGTTTCGCTCTAACCTGGAGTGGAACATCTCTGTTTATATGAGCTTAAAGTCTCTGTACATTGTCCTTTCAAATAAAGACTAAAATAAACTGTGTGTTAAACATGTGTGAGTGAAGCAAAACACAACCCCACGTATGTTTGTGATGAAAGAAAATTATAACAGAGATCGGACAGCAATTTTTTAGGCTTAAATGTTTAGTTCCTGGTTGGAAATCGTGTTACTGAAAAACCATACGGTCCAAAACTCCTCTAATGTACACAGAAATTACAATTTCACAAATACAAATAAGAAGACACATTTATTTTGTTGCAGTTTTGCGGCTTACTGCAATACGCGGAGTGTACATTCCCTGACAGCATCTCCCCAGATACGACACAGAGCGCTGACTCACGCATCAGAGCTCCAGCGCCGGCGTGTGCGTCCCCGTCAGGGATGAGTTTACACTCTTTTCTTCAGCACCCATAAAATTAAGAGGACTTTGTTATTTTACTGAGCTGACTGTTAGTCTAAGAGGATGTCAGATTCAGTATCTGTGCAGAAATGTCCATCTTTTGCAGCATTATCAGCCACTTAAACATTTAAATGAGTTTACTGGAGATCACTCCCCTCTCTCTCTCTCTCTCTTTTCTCTTTCTCTCTCTGTTCTCCATCTGTGAAGCCAATAGCACTGCAGGTGTCTCCTCTAAGACCCGCCCCTCTCCCCTTGATTGGTCAGAATCACGTTGCGCACACGCACAACATATGAAGCTTTTAAAAACATCTGATGCTCTATCTGCTCCTATCGACAGAAAATAAACTTTTAAGATTGTATTACCCAATTAAATAAAAGTGAGACTGCTGACAGACAATGTCAAATGTTCTTCCATCAACTATTCATTTATGACTATTTATGACTATTCATTCATTAATTATTCTTGTCACAGAAAACAGGATATACAATATTGTGAAATATGGACTACGTGTGCAGAAATTCAGTCTGTTGAACAGTGGAAGTAAAGTGAAATGACGTGATGCTAATATTCTACCTTATGTTTAGAATGTATTTTAGTTAGATATTAAACCTGCTAAACCTATTACCTGTTATTAAAACAGGGATAGGTCTCTGGGTTTCGTGGAAAAAAGTAGAAAAAAATGAACAAATATTAATCTATGATGATTTTACAGCTGTTTTTGTGAGTGGACATTTATGTCCTTAGGGTCCTGAACGTCCTAAACCTATCACCTTTTACAACTGACAGCATGAAAACGACACAACATCCAGACCAAGTGATTAAGAGAAAAGTGAGAATCCAGGTAAGACACACATGACATGATGAAACCCTCTTGTAGATGACAATAACAGCAACACATTCACACATGAAAACACCTATACTGCACAAGAGTGTAATCTAGTATTAGTACAGTGTAATCTAGTATTAGTACTGTGTAATCTAGTATTAGTACAGTGTAATCTAGTATTAGTACAGTGTAATCTAGTATTAGTACAGTGTAAGTATTAGTACAGTGTAATCTAGTATTAGTAATAGTCTAGTATTAGTACTGTGTAATCTAGTATTAGTACAGTGTAATCTAGTATTAGTACAGTGTAATCTAGTATTAGTACAGTGTAATCTAGTATTAGTAGTAATCTAGTATTAGTACATCTAGTATTAGTACAGTGTAATCTAGTATTCTGTCTACAGTACCTACAGGAAGGACTGAGGAGGACTACACATTAGGCCACAGAAGACCAAACCTGGTCTTGACTCAGACACACTAGTTTGGGAGTCACGGATCTAAAGAGATAAACTGATATAAAGACATGGAGAGAGACGGGTAAGAAAGCGCATGCGCATGCATCACTCTTGTATTACCCCCCTTGGTGCTACGCGCCCCTAAACTCGGAAGCCCAGAATCGCCCCTGGTCCCGTCACTTTACCGACACATTCCGCTCAGCTCCAGACGAACCGCGTCCTTCCAGCTTCAGTAAATCCCTCCAGGAGACAGAGCGAGGCGTCGGCCGCGGTGTGTCCGGGGAGGGGAGAGGGGCCCGGGCTGCTGCGCGGGTCCATAGCCGCAGAGAGGAGCGTGTCCCCCGGTGGAGGACGGGAGGAGACACACACCGGAGACAGGGGTCACGTGTGCAGCGGGAGCGCCAGTGAGGAGAGAGCAGAGCGAGGCCGTGCAGCGCGCACATGCACGAGAAGGAGCGCGCCACCAGGGGGCAGCACACACGAAGAGTGATGAAGACACAGAGAGAGACGATGATTTGAGCGGCTGTTAGAGGAACTGTCTGGATCGTGTCATATCTGCTTCATAACCCTTAATCATTATTACTATACACATACTGCACAAAATGCAGAAACTGAAAAACGAATTTATTTATTTTTTTCTTCACAAGAATAAAGGACATGTAAAGAAACCACGAAAAGAACAACTAAACCATCTGAGGGACACATCATTTCACATTGTCAACATAAAACAAAAAGTATAACTTACTGACTAATCTCAGGAGTTAAAGGACTATTAGACTATTTAATAATCTCTGTTCTAATGTTGTTTCCTCGTCACAAACAGACCTAGAACTGTGTTTTGTTTCATTCACAAGTTTAACACAAACTCTGTGTGACGCCCACAATGTGTGGTCACATTGTTTTTATTTAATGTAATGAAATTCTGTAAATAAGAAACAGCGGTGTTTTACTTTTGGGAAGCAATTGCAATTTCAATTTTGTCCACCAGATGGCAGAGCATGCAATGAGAAATATTTTAATCATATTTTCTATTAAAATCTTGTTAATTTTCTGTGGTGTTTATCACAGCAGCGTCTCCAGCGTCTCTGTACGTGGCCCCTCCCACCAGAGCAGCACAAATGAAGACTTGTCTCTTTCCAAACGCTCTTAAAGGACGATCGTTTTGACTGTTGACCGTGACACCCTCATCAGAAAAATGTCCAACATGAGAAAAGTGGAGCCGAGTGCAGGATTTTCCAAGGAAAATTGACTTATTCCTATTTACATACAAGTTAATGTTAAAACATTGTGTTGAAATTGTATTTATTTTATGTCAAGTGTTTAACTGTATTGTAATGAATTTTTATTTAAAGTAAACAAATATTTCAAATAATGAAATTCCATTTTACATTTATGTCCCTATTTTAATATATTTTTTTATTTTAATCTATTTACATTTGTATCCATATATTTTAATTCTAATGTTATTTATTAATATACATTAAACATATTAATATATTCATGTAATTTGCCTTAAAAAAAAAAAATTAGTCGTAAATGTTTTTTTTTTTTTTTTTTTTATTTATTGCGTTGAAGAAAATGAAAGTAATCCATCTGAAGTCCTGCAGACACCGCACACTGCACTGAAAAAAAAAAGTTGCTGGATTTGCGTAAAAAAGTTATGGACAGTGGTTGCACGCAATAAAATTATGTTTAGGCTTTGAAACTTTTTTCGAACCCCTCTACACATATTTTTCTCGGAACATGAACATCACTTTTTCATGTTGATGAAATTTGAACAAATCATGCTGAATATGTATATTTATCTTATGGTACCTTATCATGAAATGTATAAGTATGTATAATTTAATTTAATTGATCTAATTCTGTAAAAGAATACAAAAACAGTCTTTAGTTTTCCATAGTTCTGTATTGTCTTAAACAGAATCAAACACACAGAGAGACACAAGTACAGAGACACACAGTTTGGAGCTGGACAGTGTGAAGATTTATTCCAGTGAAGCTCTGGTCTCTGTGGACACAGAATAACACATGATGATCACATTCTGATGATCTACTCTGTTCTACATGTTTAAATACACTTAAAGTACTTATTACTACAATAATGGACCAGAACAGAAGAACAACATTAGAAGTGTATCTGCAGAAACAAAACTCACCATGTGCTGCTTTTCTTCCTCTAAACACAGTAACAAGGAGGGCATCTGGTATAAAGTCTCCTAATGCCACATCACCCTGTAGAAACACGACAGCTGTTTCAACAGGAAGTTCATTTTGAAAATTTTTTAAATAATTTTAGTTGGTTTACTTACTTTGTTCATCTGTGGTCTGTGTTTTGTTGGTTTTCAAACATCTTCCTTTTTTCTGAAACATCAGCTGTAACATTCATGAACTTCCCCTCAGCTCCAGCAGAACCTGGACGTCACTCTGTGTTTGTAGACGACTCTGGAACAAACACATTCAAATCTGAGTACAACTGTCACACTCTTGTAGATGGACAGTCAAAAACAATTTGTTTCAAGCTGTCCTTACATTAACTCTAATTTCAAATAAAACAACACAAACATGTTTTAACAATGACGACATTCTAGGCCGGAGAAGCACATAATAAAATCTTTGAAAAGTCTCACCTCCAGATCAGCTCTGATAATCCTCCTGCTCCACACTGTGTGTCTCTGCTCCTGGAACTCTCCTGTGTCCTGTTATATTTGAATTTTCCCTCCAAAGGTTTTTGGGAGGAGAATTCCAGAGATGAAATAATAAAGTCATGTTTCCTCAACCTGATTAAAACATGCAGGGTCTCACATCGGCCACAATCAAGTGACCTTTGTAAGATTTAAACATGCTTGACAGAGAAACGTAAAAAAGTGATGTTATTGTTGTCAAATTTGTTTTTGCAATTTGAGCAACTCCTCTCAGACTGTTTTTTCAGTGTGTCCCGTGGTCCCGTGGAGAAAGCGGCACGGCTCCTCCCAAAGCATCGAGGTGCAGGGGAGGGCATCTGAACCAGGCCAGACCAGTCGTCCTGCAGAGACACAAAACACATCACAGGTTAGGGTTACCAACATGTGTGAGGCAAACAAGCATGAGATTTTACTTCGGTTATGTAAGATCCCACATAATTCAAGGACTTAAGTGGTTTGCAATTGTCTCACTTGCAGATGACACAAACTTAGGGTAAAGAAAGGGTCAAGAAAAATACATTTCTAGGTGTTATTATTGATCAAATGAACTTAACTGGAAAGAACACATACAATATATACATACTCGCAGTATTAGGTCGGGCCAAATATTTTCTGGATAAGAAAACTCTATGTACACTTTATTGTGCTTTAGTTGCACCATATTTGACGTACTGTGCTGAGATATGGGATAGTAACTTTAAAACAATATTGGAACCACTATTCATATCACAGAAACAAATAATTCTTAATTTATGACCAACCAGGTATTTATCACTTCAAAAATTTAAAGAAAAACTTAAGGATCTGATAACTTCCAGACCGCAAAAATAATGTGCAAGGCAAAAAGTAAAGAACTACCAAAAAATATTCAGAAACTTTTTAGTGAAAGAGAAAGTACTTATGATTTAAGGGGAATGAATCTTCTTTAAAAGGTCCAGAGTCCAAACAACAAGGAAAATGTTTTTTATTTTCAGTTTGTGGAGTCAAAATCTGGAACTCTGTAACTGATGAGCTCAAAAAATTGCCCAAACATAAAAATATTTGAACAAATATATAAGGAAATGATAATAGCTAAGTATGCCAAAGAAGGAATTTAAGTTAATTTGTCATTTGAACGTACACTAAAACATTTTGAAATGCATTTAATTATTTTGTGTCTGGACTAATGTGACGTATTATTACAAGAGCAGAAGCACATTATTGCTTTAAAGGTTGTATGGAGGATTTTTTTTGTTTCAAATTGTCAATGATAGATTATAGAGATGCAGTAGCCTTGTAATTATGATGACCAAAAAAAAGAGAATAAAAATTCATCAACTCTGGACGTGGTGGGGCTAAACATTTGCCAATAGATAACGACACTGCCTCGTTATCTGTGAGCTGACAGGCTGTCAATCAAACTCCCTACGTTTCTAGCGTAACTGACTTGCCTGTGCGCCGCCGGTACGTGGTTTACGTACGACTGTCACGCAGTCCACAGACGCAAGACGCACAGACGCTGTTTACTCCACCAACGCAACAGTTCTTAGCAGCTTTTTTTTGACCTATATCTTCCTCGCAGTTCACACAAAGTTTGTTGCAATGGCGACAAGAATCCAGGAGCAGTTCGCAGCAAAAGAAAGTCCGTTTTTGAGGTCGCTGAAAGAAGAAGACAAGGAGAAAAGCAGCGAAGCCAAACTAAGGTGATTCTTTGAAGATTCATTCCAGCGATGGCGCAACTGAAGCAGACGAAGGGTCTAAAGACTGATGCACTGGTCCACAAATTACTCCTGGACAGGTCACTTCTGCTTATTATGAAAACGTACTTTATTTCCAAGAGCTAGACAAACGTTTTTCAAGACACGAATGCGATATCCTATGTCTGAAAACTTAATTTTCAATGCAAAGAAAGAGTCCGCTTGCTGCTGCGTGTTGTAGCTAGTTCATTCGCACTGAATCTCCGCGCACCTTCTCTGCACCCCTTTCCTGCTCCTCTCCCTGCTGCCTGTTCCGCTCTTCTCCCTGCTCCTCACTTCTTTTCCGCGCACGAAATGTCCGCACCCCCCCCCTCCCCCCGCTCCTCACTTCTCCGTCTTGCCTAACCAACACTGTACTTAGTTGTTTACAAGTCATGTGCACCGGCTGTAAACAAACCTGTTTCTGGCGTAAGGAGGAGGAGGGAGGAGGCGTTTCTACGTAGGAGCTGTGGGGGAGGGATGGTGGTTTCACGCATGTGCAACATTTGAAAAAGGACAAACAGTCGCTGGATTTCTCGTTCCTTGGAAAATCCTCTATACAACCTTTAATGGCTTTGTAAAAGTTGGTGGCGGTATAATAAGCGTTTGTTTCTCCTCACTTCTTTATGGAAGGATTGATTTATTTATTTTTTGAAGATTATATTTGTGATTATTAACGTAAAATAATTACCTTTATGTATCTGTTGATTACTGTTGGAACATAATGAGATTTATCATTTTGAAAATATCCGAATACACTTATCATTATTGTTATTATTAATTCAAAAAGATGTAATATGGAAATAAAATTGTTTTTGTGGTTTGGTGTGATTGAGGAATTTGTGAGTTTACCTGTCGTCTACACCAGCTTCGTTTCAAAGTTGGTGCACAGAGATGTTTTCCTGTTTGCAGACAGGCCCAGTGGAGCTCTCAAGAAAAACACAGAGGCCCAGGGTGACACAAGTGGGCGTGTCTTTGAAGAGGCTGGTGCAACTGCCCAGGGCGAGACCGGTGGAAGTGTCCCAGGATGAGACAGGTGGAGGTGTCCCAGGATGAGACAGATGGAAGTGTCCCAGGATGAGACAGGTGGAAGTGTGCCAGGATGAGACAGATGGAGGTGTGCCAGGATGAGACAGATGGAAGTGTGCCAGGATGAGACAGATGGAAGGTGTGCCAGGATGAGACAGATGGAAGTGTTCCAGGATGAGAGATGGAGGTGCCAGGATGAGACAGATGGAGGTGTGCCAGGATGAGACAGATGGAAGTGTGCCAGGATGAGACAGATGGAAGTGTGCCAGGATGAGACAGATGGAAGTGTGCCAGGATGAGACAGATGGAAGTGTTCCAGGATGAGACAGATGGAAGTGTGCCAGGATGAGACAGGTGGAGGTGTGCCAGGATGAGACAGATGGAAGTGTCCCAGGATGAGACAGATGGAAGTGTCCCAGGATGAGACAGATGCAGGTGTCCCAGGATGAGACAGATGCAGGTGTCCCAGGATGAGACAGATGCAGGTGTCCCAGGATGAGACAGATGGAGGTGTCCCAGGATGAGACAGATGGAGGTGTCCCAGGATGAGACAGGTGGAGGTGTCCCAGGATGAGACAGATGGAGGTGTCCCAGGATGAGACAGGTGGAGGTGTCCCAGGATGAGACAGATGGAGGTGTCCCAGGATGAGACAGGTGGAGGTGTCCCAGGATGAGACAGGTGCAGGTGTCCCAGGATGAGACAGATGGGAGGTGTCCCAGGATGAGACAGGTGGAGGTGTCCCAGGAGGTGTCCCAGGATGAGACAGATGGAGGTGTCCCAGGAAGACAGATGTCCCAGGATGAGACAGAATGGAGGTGTCCCAGGATGAGACAGATGGAAGTGTCCCAGGATGAGACAGATGGAGGTGTCCCAGGATGAGACAGGTGGAGGTGTCCCAGGATGAGACAGATGGAGGTGTCCCAGGATGAGACAGATGGAAGTGTCCCAGGATGAGACAGGTGGAAGTGTCCCAGGATGAGACAGATGGAAGTGTCCCAGGATGAGACAGATGGAGGTGTCCCAGGATGAGACAGATGGAGGTGTCCCAGGGTGAGACAGATGGAGGTGTCCCAGGATGAGACAGATGGAGGTGTCCCAGGGTGAGACAGATGGAAGTGTCCCAGGATGAGACAGATGGAAGTGTCCCAGGATGAGACAGATGGAGGTGTCCCAGGATGGACAGATGGAGGTGTCCAGGGTGAGACAGATGGAAGTGTCCCAGGATGAGACCGGTGGAAGTGTCCCAGGATGAGGACAGGTGCAGAGCAGCTGGACCAGTCAGATCTTTTCAGTTATGCATTAATACTAAACATGCGACTAAACTCAGATTCCAATAATGCTCAAATTCTATTACACATATCTTTTTATTATTTATTATTTTATTAGTTTTATATATATATATATATATGTATATATGTATATATATATATATATATGTGTATATATATAATATATATATATGTGTGTGTGTGTATATATATATATATATGTGTGTGTGTGTATATATATATATATATATATATATATATATATATATGTGTGTGTGTGTGTGTGTGTGTATATATATATATATATATATATATATATATATATATATATATATATATATATATATATATATATATTTATTGAGTGACTTATAAGCAGTGTTGGGGAGTAACAGATTACATGTACTGGAGTTACGTAATCAGAGTACAAATTATGAGTAACAGTATTCAGTTACAGTTACTGTTTCAGTGAGTGGTAATTGGATTACAGTTACTTTGTTGAAATAAATGGATTACACTGCAGTATGTTCCTGTTTTCACATTTTGGGCTAAACCAGGACTAAACCAGGTCTAAAGAATATGACACTAACAATAGGCTGGACATAATTTAAGGTGATCTCATATAAAAATAATTTCTCTATCAATAATATTTTAAATATAGTTAAGTAAAGTCTGGTCTTTTTATTGACTTTGAGGAGATAAAACTTAAATCTTAAATCTTATGTTAAGATCCTCGTCTTCTCTACAGCAAACAAAAGTCTGTTCATGGAGACTTGGGCTATACAGAGAATTTGTAGAAAACAAACATGAATTTTTTTTTTAAAAAGTACGACAATATCAATTAATCCAAAGTATTCAGATTACGTTACTCACTTTAAGTAATTTAATGGATTATGTTACAAACTACATTTTGGTGTGTGTAATCTGTAATCTGTAGGGGAATACATTTTAAAAGTCACCTTCCCAACACTGTTTATAAGTCAATGTTTTGTTATCTGTTTGAAAAGAAAATTTATCTAAAATCTTTATCACCCAATATGACAAAGAAAAGATTATTGGTTATTATTTTGGTTTGGGGTAAATTTTAATGTTAGAGATATTGCAGAATGATCACTTATCTTAGTGTTGTGTATAGTGCTTTTGATAATGTTTGGCACAAGTGACTCATTTATGAGAAAATAATCTATCCTCGACGAAGTGTGATGTCTTTTTGAGCTATATGTATGTCTGTTAGTTGTGTGTGTGTTTCTCCAAATGTCAACAAATCTGCCTATTTTCATACATTCTTTAATCTTTTTGGCTGAATTTGGGTTTCTTTGCACACCACTTGAGCGTTCTGTTGATGCCATATCTGTATTAAAATCTCCACCAATTATAATGTTTTCAAAATCTTCCAATTGTAAAAATAATTGTTCAAAAAAATTTGGATCATCTTCAGTAGGCCCATAAATGCTTACTAAAGTTAATGATATCCCATTTACTAATCCATGAACAATAATCCATCGACCTTCTTCATCTGTTATTTTCTTCATTAATTCAAAATTTAACGTCTTTTTAACTAGAATTGCAACACCACATGACCTTGTAGTGTATGATGATGAGTATTCTGTGTAATTTCCAATGCCAACATTTTGTGATGGTTGTAAATGTGTTTCCTGGAGAAAACCTATGTCTGCCTTTAAATTTTCATGGAATTTAATAAACACATTTTTTTTCTGCTTGTCTTTCAGACCGTTTATATTACAAGATAGAATTTTAAAATGAACTTGTGATCTGACTGGTTCAGCATTTGTAGATACTGAAACAAATATAAAAAAAAACAAAAAAACAGTTGTCACCAAAATGAAAGGATGGACAAAATCATAAAGTACAAAGCACAATACTTAATTTACTTCATAAGTGCAAGTAAATAATTATGAAATAATACAAGTGTAACAATATCTATCAAGTACTTTCTACTGAATTAGTTGACTTTTTTTTGTCATTGAAAATGCATAATAAAAGTGTTGCCAGCTCATTTATTTTGGGGAGAATTTAAATTCAAGTTAAATTAAATTAAAATGTGTACATGTATCCTTTAATAATAATAAAAATTAGAATTTTCCTAATAATGTAAGTGTTTTTAGCCGCTCTTTGAAAGAAGTCAAACCTTGTGGCTTTTTTACTTAGATGTTAGAAACAGAGATGTTTGTGTTGGTATCTGTCATAACAAATCTAACTGCCATAGAGAGATAAATAGGTAAATAAATAAATACTTAATTGATTTCATAGAGTAAGAAAGAGTTCTCAGCTGATTTTACATTGCACCATTAGTACGTTCACCTTGTGTGTGATATTCTGCCCATCAAAGTTTACACAGACTACACTCTTTTGTGAGCTTGTCCAGCTGGTTAGTGTCTCACAAGGTCAAAAATGAAATGACAAATAAGACTGGAATGTTGAAACGACAAGAGCACAATGGTAATGCGCCACATTCATCTCTTTATCTTAATCTCTTTTTTCTGTGTTTGAAGCTACGGCAACAGCTGTTATTTATTTTCTTTAGTTTCTATTTTTTACAGTCAGAAGTTGGTTATCACACTAGACACGTCAACAGTAACCAGGAAATCTCCAGTATCAGTGAATTAAGAGTTTTAACACAAATATTAAATGTCCCAGACTCACACACACTCACACAGATGTACAGTCTGACCCTGTGGGTCTGTGGCATTCTACACGTTATATGAAGATGACACGAGACTGGGGCAAGTGCTCACTACAGCTGTTTCACTTATTATAAGAGAAACTTTTTAAGATTCTCAAGCTCCTAACTACATGATACATACATAGTGGCTGTACCGGCTTGTCAAAACCTGATCCTGTCAGATCTCAGAAGCTCAGCAGGACCAGGCCTGGTTAGTACTTGGATGGGAGACCACTGGGAAAATCAGGTGCCACAGTGGGACACCAGTGGCAAAGAGACTAAAACCAGGACTAAATCAGGACTAAACTAAGACTAAAACCTGGTCTAAACCAGGACTCAAACTGCCGTTGTGTCCTTAGGCAAGACACTTTACTATTGCCTATGAAAGTGGTGTGTGTGTGAGTGATGGTGGTGGTCGGAGGGACTGATGGCGCCGTTTGGCATGGCAGGCACGCTTCTGTCAGTCTGCCCCAGGGCAGCTGTGACTACAACAGTAGTTTACCATCACCAAGAATAGAGTGAATGAATAATGCTGAATAATCCTCTGCTCTGTCTTTGTGACAAAAAAAAAATGTCTGTGAAAAGTGCTATATAAATAAAGACATAAAGACATAGGCAACAGAATAAAAGACTTACCTTGTCTGTAGTCGTTTGGAGTTGGGGAAGTTCTTGCTCCTTTTTTTCCTTTTTCCATTTTTTCTATTTCTATTTTTTTGGAACTTGTCACTGTAACATGAGGCTCTTTTATAATGAGCAGGTGAGCCGTAGATGAGGTTGTGTGGCCAATCAGTTGTACCTGCATCACTGACGTAGGATCAGGCGATGGGCGTGAGACAGGAGAGCAGGCTGTGTTCACCTGACATCAGAACATTCTCGAATCTGGTGGAGTCTTCTGTGTACTGTCACATGACTGATTTGTTGACCTTGTTTATAGATAATATCTCTGTAATTTCTACTCACATGAAACTATAACAACAAAACAACAGTAAGTGAGGTTCAGTCAGTTCTACCTGCCTCGGTGATGTAGGATTAGGTGAGGCACGCGGGACAGGAGAGCAGGCTGTGTTCATGTGACATCAGAACATTCTCGAATCTTTATAATCGGTGAAATCTTCTGTGTAACTGTCAGATTTCTGATTTCTTAACCTGAAATTATTGAAACAATACAAAAATAGGTGATGGATTCAACATTTATATTAATCTCACTGTGTAT